TGTGTTCATCCAGCTCTGCACCTTGTTGTCTCAGATCATATCAATTCTGTTTAGCTCTTCAGTCCTCTCCCGAGATTGCTCTGCTGATGCAAAAGCACTCAGGGTTGAACAGCAACTGGAAAAAAAAAAATTTTCCGAGTGTAGATAAACTTAGGATCCAACATTTGGTTCAAATCAAATTTTCAAAATTCAATTACTGCTTATTCAAAGTGAACATGACAGGTTGTTAAGACTTAATTTTGCATACTTGCATAGTTTAATGACTCCTGAGTCAGAGTGATAGGATGCACAATTCTTCATTCACTTCAGGTTGCCGATTTCATTTTGGCTGGCTGACAATCGATTACATTTGGGAAGGGAACAGGCTACTCAGTCCTTCCCCTCATGCCAAGCAATATAAACATAAGTGATGATTGAAGACAGGCTGAACATAGATATTGGGCATATAAATTACTTAGCTCTGAAAAGGTTGGATGTGAACCAGAGATCTAGCCAATTGGTAAGTGAACAATGGCAGTGTAGATTTAAACTAATTATAAGTTCTCTGATTACTACTTTTCAGGTGATCATCTGCTTTGATTGTTCTCATAGCTTTATGTTCTATTTGTTTCCCCACAATGGCTTTAGTAATATTACATAATTTTGACAAGTCAGTTTCAGAAACAGTTTGAAGAAAAAAGTGTTCAAGCTTAAAAAAAGACAGCCATCAAAGAATGCAAAGAGAAGCAAACTTAAATGCTTCTGCGTTGTGGTTGGTTGGCTCACCAAGCTGGTTTGTTGTTCTGCAGACGTTTCATTACCCTGCTGGGTAACATCATCAGTGCAGCCTCCGATGAAGCGCTGTTGTGTTTTCCCGCCTGGTATTTAAACTCTGGGGTCCATTGGATTTGATTACCTCATTTCCAGTTTTCCTTCGCAGTTGTGTATATATAGGGTCAAGTTCTGTGTGTTTGTTGATGGCCTTCTTGGTGGAGAACGAGGCCTCGAGGAATTCCCGTGCTTGTCTCTGTTTGGCCTGTTCTGGGACCCTGGTGTTGTCCCAATCAAACTGGTGGTTTTCCTTATCCGTGCGAATGGAGAGTGAGTGAGTATTGGTCGTGTCTTTTTGTTGCTAGTTGATGTTCGTGTACTCTTGTGGCTAATTTTCTTCCTGTCTGTCCAATGTCATGTTTGTCACAGTCTTTGCAGGGGATCTTGTATGCTATATTGGTCCTATCCATAGTGGGTAACGGGTCTTTGGTTCAGGTTAGCAGTTGGCATAGGGTTGATATGGGTTTGTGTGCTACTCTAATGCCCAGTAGTGGTAGGAGTCTTATAGTCAGTTCAGATGTGTTCTTGATCTAAGGTAGCGCGATGAGGGTGTCGGGGCGTGCAGTATCTTCCTGGTGTCGTTCCTGTAATAGGCATCTTCTGACTCAGTTTTTTGGGTATCCGTTGTCCTTGAATACTTGGAATTCAGTACTTGGTCAATGTGCGTGCTTTCCTGTATACCTTTGTTCAGAAATCCCCATTCGTTCTGTGTTCCACCATGGCATCAAGGAATGGGAGCTGTTTATTCTTTTCCTCTTCCTGGGTGAATCTGAAGCTGGTGAGAGTTGTTTATTAGTTTGTGTGTCTCCTTTAGTTTGGTCTGTTTAATAATCACATATCGTATCCATTGTTTCGGTTGGATTAGTGGAAGGGCTATGCTTTCGAGCCTCTGCATCACCGCTTCAGCTATTATTCCGGAGATCAGTGTTTCTATATACAGGAAAACCCCATACACTGGCCAAATACTGAATTACAACAGCAACCACCCTAATAGCCACAAACGAAGTTGCGTGAAAACTGTGTTAAACGGGCAACAACACACTACAGCAACACAGAACTATGCCAAAAAGAAGAGTACCTCCTCCAAGTATTCAAGGACAACAGATACGCGAAAAACTGGGTCAGAAGATGCCTATTACAGAAACGACACCAGGAAGATACTGCATGCCCCGACACCCTCATCACGCCACCTTAGATTAAGAACACCTCTGAACTGACCACAAAAATCATACGACCACTGGGCATCAGAGTAGCACACAAACCTACATCAACCCTACGCCAACTGCTAACCCGAACCAAAGACCCGTTACCAAATATGGACAGGACCAACATAATATACAAGATCCCCTGCAAAGACCGTGACAAACATGACATTGGACAGACAGGAAGAAAATTAGCCACAACAGAACATCAACTGGCAACAAAAAGACACAACCAATACTCACTCATCTCCATCCACAAGGGTAAGGAAAAACACCAGATTGACTGGGACAACACCAGGAGCCTGGAACAGGCCAAGCACGGGAATTCCTAGAGGCCTGGTTCTCCACTAAGAAGTCCAGTGACAAACACAGAGCTCGACCCTATATATACTCCACTGCAAAGGAAAACCAGAAGTGAGGTAACCCAGCTCAACGGACACCAGAGTTTAAATACCAGGCGGGAAAACACAACAGCGCTTCATCGGAGGCTGCACTGGTGATGTTACCCAGCAGGGTAATGAAACGTCTGCAGAACAACAAACCAGCTCGCCGAGCCAACCAACCACAACATCCACAACCTGAGCTACAAATCTACTCAAAAATTGATCTGGTTGAACTCCATCTCAAGTGCCCAACAACACAAAACTTCTAACACTTGCATTGCAACAAGCTGAACATATACTTGGCCTTTAACTGCATACAGGAAATTACAAACAAGGAAATATTATAATAAATGAAGTATTTTTCCTAATGTATTGTCCGCAGCATACACTTTGCCTTGACTGCACAAAACTCCCGTTAGCGTTATCTTTGCTTATGGAGTAATAAAGGGAGTGTTTGAGTTTAATTGATCAATTTAATTACTGTGTACAGGACACTGATCTGGAAGACACAGGTGGCTTCCCTTTTTAAATTACTGATCCTACCAAACTCAGTAACCTTGACAACAAGGCTGGCCCAGTGGCAGGGATTACTCATGTTAGTTATTTGAGTAATATATTTGAAAGTATTTTTGAAAAGCGTGGGGTTTTATGTTTTTAAACAATATCAAGATCTATCTTTCATAAATGCAGTGAACTGATTTGCTATGTCTTGCAAGGACCCTGCAAGCCTGCTTTGAAAGACTAAATAGTCTTGGATCTGCACTATTGACTTCCAAGATGCGTTCTCAATCCTTTCCAATAGGTTAATAAAAATCCAACTCGTATTGTATAATACATGACAATTTTGCTTAGTATGTTAGTGTAATAGATTGCACTGAAAGGCACTTCGCTTTTTATGGCTGATTTCAAAGAAGTAGGAAAAGTTGCTTTTGCATAATTCCGAAACTTCAACACATTAATGTACACAATTCTAGAGTTGGCCTCAAGAGAAATGCTGATTGTCAGCAATTTTGTAACAACAAAACAATTCCAACTTTGTTAATGTGTTGCAGGGTTCGACACTATGGGATTGGAAGGGTAAAGGAAGGCTGTCTTGATGCCCAAAATATGACAAAATTATAAACCTTGCATCTCATTTCCATCCTAGTGTTACCAAATAAGCGTTGTTCAATACAGCCCTTACAAAGTGTCAAGTCCTCTTTAAACTGAATTTGGTGCCTTTTCTCCAGAGGATAATTTTTTCTAACATTAAAAAAATGCCAGAGCTGGGATTCAGTTTTGACTGGAGACATTGAAAAGAATATGAAATACTAAATGTGAGTAAGCGTACTGAAAGCTTTAAAGTTCCAAAGTACAGCAACTGTTTTAATAACCAACACCTGTAGGATCAGGAGTGTACTGGTTGGTCAAATATTCCAGTTGATCCAGTCCATATAGTCAATGTCAAAACACACAGAGTATATACATCACTGTTATACTTAGGTTACTTAAACAGTAACGCCACTTTGCCTTAAATAAAACTTACTGGCAGAGTGCCTTTTCACTTACACCCTCAACTAACGACTTGGAGATCGCAGAGATCACGATAATACAGTAAACCTCCGGCATGAGGTTATATAATTTTTGCTGGTTTAATAGAAAGTGCTGGTTCATAAGGTGCTAGTTAAACCAGTGTTTGGTGTACATAAATGGTCTTTATTGCGACAGACATGTGCAAGTTTCCAACATCTTACCCCATACTCCTGCTGGTGTGCTGACAGGTCTGCTCTGGCTAGGCTGTTTTTCTGCATCAGGGTTCAGAGATGGCTGTTTAAACAAAGTATATCCAAGATTAGTATTCAATTTATTGTTCTTACTGAATGAATTCAAATATCTTAAGTACACACATCTCAACAGGGATATTTGCCTAAAATTATTTAAAGTTATTGAAGAAAACTTACAAAGTCTTCCTCTTCAAACTGAAGTTTTTCATCCTTTTCATCCTTCTTTTCTTCCTTTACCTCAGCAGGTTGCTTGTCCTGGAATCCTGAACTCTTTCGGTTATGGAAGTTGCCATTCCAATGTCGATGGGCATTGTTGCTACCACGCTGGTTGATCACATCATGGCCTCTATTTGCATTGTGCCAACTGGCATTTTCTTTCCAAACCTGACTTCCAAAAAGGCTAACTTGAACACTCTTAGAAACACCTGAATCTACAGAATCATGGCGAAGCAATGAAGGTTGATACCAACCATCTACAAATAAACCAAAAATCAAAACATATTAGTCTTTTGACCAACATAAACTGAAGATATTTCTTTCGTGGCATGAACTCCTGCTTCTGATTTTGCAGTCTTCATTTTTATTTAACATACATAATATATCTATATAAAATTAGTCTATTTAATCCTATAACAACAAGCATATTTAAACATAATACTTACTGAACTTGCAAATGCATTTAACAATTTCATGGACATAACTGAGTTATTACTTGAGAAATAAAGATATTTTACTTCCCTTGTACCAATAAGGATTGTTGAAAAATCTGCTGTGTGTTCAGAAGCAGTACACAATAGGTGGAGATAGAACCCAGATGGAGACAAGAGATAGTAGGAACTGCAGATGCCGGAGAATCCGAGTGGTCCCTCCGGAAAGCAGATAAGGGTGGAGAGAGAAAAATGTCTTTGGTGGGGTCAGATTGCAGGCAGCGGAAGTGTTGGAGGATGACGCGTTGGATCCGGAGGTTGGTGGGGTGGTACGCGAGGACGAGGGTGATTCTGTTTTGGTTGTTATTGCAGGGAGGGGGTGTGAGGGATGAGTTACGGGAAATGCGGGAGACACGGTCAAGGGCGTTCTTGACCACTGAGTGGGGGGAAATGTTGCGGTCCTTGAAAAACGAGGACATCTGAGATGTTCAGGAGTGGAATGCTGTCTGGAAGGACCAGTCTCTCCGTGACCCCCTTGTCCGCTCCACACTCCCGTTCAGCCCCACAACCCCTGGCACTTTTCCCTGCAACCGCAGGAAGTGCTACACCTGCCCCTACACCTCCCTCCTCATTCCCATCCCAGGCTCCAAGAAGACCTTCCACATCAAGCAGATGTTCACCTGCACATCTGCTAATGTGGTATACTGTATCCGCTGTTCCAGATGTGGCCCCCTGTACATCGGGGAAACCAAGCGGAGGCTTGGGGACCGGTTTGCGGAACACCTACGCTCGGTTCGCACTAAACAACTGCACCTCCCAGTCGCGAACCATTTCAACTCCCCCTCCGATTCCTTAGATGACATGTCCATCCTGGGCCTCCTGCAGTGCCACAATGATGCCACCTGAAGATTGCAGGAACAGCAACTCATATTTCGCTTGGGAAGCGCAATGGTATCAATGTGAACTTCACAAGCTTCAAAATCTCCCCTTCCCCTACCGCATCTTCTCCTTTATCCATCTTCTATCCGCCTCCCCCTCTCTCCCTATTTGTTTCAGAATCCCCTTCCCCTCCCCCATTTCTGGAGGGGGGCCCAGGCCCGAAACGTCAGCTTTCCTGCTCCTCTGATGCTGCTTGGCGTGCTGTGTTCATCCAGCTCTATACCTGGTCATCTCAAATGGAGACAAACTCAGTTTGGCGGACAAAGGGATGGATTATGGCGAGTCAGGGAAAAAAAAACTGACATTAGGGATCATTAGTAGGTCAAAATGAGTTTGCTGTCATGACAGGGCCTGGGTGTGGGGATGAGTAAATGATACAGAAGGCAGTGTTCAGGCCCAAAAATGATCAAACTTGAAAATAAGTTCTGAAGGCAGCAGGTCCCCAAGTGGAAAACGAGATGCTGTTCTTTCAGCTTACACTGAGCCTCACTCAAGCATTGCAGCAGGCCCAAAACGAACATGTTGGCCAGGGAACACTGTGGCATGTTGAAGTCGCAGTTAACTGAAAGCTCAGGACTATTTTTGTGAACAGTCGCCCAGCCTGCGTTTCGTCTCCCCGGTAGACTAGATAATTTGCTGCTTCACTTGGAAGGTTCGTCTGGAGTCTTGGATAGTGGTGAGGGAGTAAGTAACAAGGCAGGTGTCAAACCTTCTGTGACTATGTGAGAAGGTGCCATGGGGTGTGGGAAGGTGTTGGGAGTGGAGAAGTGCAACAGGGTGTCCTGGAAAGAACAATCCTTGTGGAACGCTGAAGAGAGGGCCCTTTGTGTCTGGTGGTGGCATCCTGCCAGAGGTGACAGAAACAACCAGAAATCGCAGGATTATGATCCCTGGATCAGAAACATTAACTCTGCTCTCTCTCCACAGATGCTGCCAAACCCTGCCGAGTTTCTCCAGCAATTTCTATTTTTGTTTCAGATTTCCCGCATCTGAAATTTTGTTTCATTTTAGCAGTATCAAGCAATTTGATCATTGGTGCCATTGCACAAATTTAAATGTCTGATCAAAGGGATGGGTACCAATTTTCTTTAAAATAAATATTTCTTTTACATGTACAGTTAATGCTTTGTGAAAACACGTTCCTTATCTCTTCACTCCTATTATCTTGAATATATTTTATACCATTCAATTGTTCAATTAGTTACACATTTATAAGTCCAAGTTTTTCTCCATGAAATATGGAAAACTCCTTAATGACCGCTCTTACACGCACAGTTATAATTATTAAACCGTTATCCATTTACTCAGTGTTATCACTACTTTCAATTTCTCTACAAATATCAAAATAGTCCCAAACCTAATGTCACACATCAGTATTACACATCAAATTAAAAGTAAGAATCTCATATCAGTAACAAGGAACAATTTTGTAATTAATAGGTCAATTAACTGGCAGCCAACTAACAAGCAGAGGTTGCCACAAACTCATGCTACTTCCACCATTAAGTATGTGACAACGCTGTAGCCTTAAGTGGTGTGTTGTGTGCTGGTTTCTTTTAGACAGAGATTGGGGGGGGGGTCAGGTGATGAGCAGTCTATGGAGAAGTTAAACAACTTTTGTGGCCTTGTTTTTTTTTTATTAAAAGTTGGAACAAGAGAAGCAGCTTGAGTGGGTACGGTCAAACTTTCATAGATCCAGGATTTTAGTCAGCTTTCGGCAGTTTTTGCTGGGGTCTCAGCAGGGTTGGAAGGCAGCAGGGTTGGAAGGCCGTGAATCTCTCCTGGCTGCTGCACTGTCTCTGGGAAGCCGCTGTATGTATTTCTTTCTTGCCAAGTGGACTGCATGTGAGAAAATCTGCTTTTCTGATTTTGCCGTTTTGCCAGGGGTATGTTTATGGGTGTTACTATATTGGAATAGTTACTGTATCCATTATTCTTTTAAGCTTTCCAACAGAGTTAAGTTATTCCAAGTTCCTCTTTCTTTTGTTGTTTTTTTAACCACAGTGTCTGAATAAAATGTGCTCTGCTTAGAATAGTTTGACCAATCGAATTGCACCTGGAACACAGCATCTCACATTTAACCTTTTAAAGTAAGATAAAGTTAAGGTCGAGGCTACCTTCTTAATATATTTTGAGGGGGGTCTGCTCTGGTCCATAAATAAAATTATCATCTATGAATCATCCATTATTCTCATTTCAAATTAAAAGAATTTGCTTATGATACGTACATACTATGGCAAATGTAAAATTGACGAAAATAATAAGAAAATAGCTCATTTAATTGAAAGCATTTTGTAGTGTTGTCTGTAACTGATTTTCCTTGTTCCAAATTTTCATCTGGCAAGTTAGAAATGTCTAAGATTGTTAAATTGTACCTTTCCTACCTCCAGCAGCTCGGAGTAGACCATTATTAAAGAATCCATCTGAGGAATTGTGCCTTCTACGATTTACACCAAATCGACCATCGCCTCGAGCAAAATGGTCACTGTGTTTCTCACTGGTAGAAGAGGACTGCATAAAAAAGTTTTCAAAGAATAGTAAAATTATTTGTGCTTTTCAAAATAGCATTATGTTCACCAGTTCTGCTCCAGATAACTATAAACTTAAGTGAGAAACAGAATTCATTAAGTATTTTGCTCGGCTGCTATACTGAACATTTGTCCTTTTAAGGCCACAAAGACTAACCACTGCAGAGATTCTGGGTCAGACATAAGAGTTTAATCCATGTTCAGGCTTTGTGTCTATTTTAATGTACATTCATAGATCAACTTCAGTAATTCCTTTGCCAAGTTTCCCTACAGATTAAAATTAACCAATCATTTCTAATTTTTGTTGAAAGAAACTTGAAATTTGAGTGCATTTCAAATGTCATCAACAGGAAAAAGACATAACAAATAGAATTCGCACGCTGGCATAGCATTTTTATTAAAATTAGAAGTATGATTGATTATACCATAATTTGAAATATGTAAAGCAGGCTTTCATGAAGCCATGACAACACTCATACTTCGCAGTCTAGCACAACAAATGATTTAATTTTATATCAACAGAGCAGCAAATACATATGGAGTTACAACGAATTTCAATTTTGTTTCAATGACAGTCATTGATTCATAATATTTTGGTTGGGTTACACACTAACTAAACGTTTTTGCTCTTAAACACATTTATAATTTCTAGTAATTCTGTTTAAGGTTACTTGGGATTGGGAAGCGTCAAAGTTTAATTTCATCTGCTTTGCTCCATGGCATATAACATCACTAAATATCTAAACTCAAACTGTTTACTTAAAATTTTGAAGTTAAGAAAGCTCCTGACACAGACCTGTGCATACAATATGCCTGTGATGTCAGCACACAGTATGTATGGACATCACAACACAAGATACATACTACCATATGTGCCACATGTGCAAGGTCCACCAAAAATAGGAGTACTTCTTTCTTGAAAAGCAAAGAAAAACTGGTAGATCAGTTTTAAAAAAAATTAAGTGGAAGAGTTTGAGATTTTGTCAATTTTGATTCAAAAAGGACAAATGCGTATTTTGATATTTATTATAGAATGAAAAATGAACTTTGAAAAAACTAAAAATTTTGAATTGCAACAGAAGTCAGGAAAATAAAGCTGATCAATCATGCATGTTCAATCAAAATTCAATTGATCAAGAAAAAGGCATCTAAACACAGCTCACCAATTCAAGACCAAGGAAACACTACGCATAAATTAGCTCCAGTCACAATATAGGATTTTTAGCAGTTGGATGAAATAATAAAAACAACCTCGAGCTGAGAAGCAACACTCCTGTTTAAATCAGAAAATTGTGTTCAAGCCCCTCAAAAAAAAACTTAAGCATAAAGAAGTCTAACACCGTGTCCTAGTACTGAGAGACAGCTGCCCGTCAGAATTGCCATCTTTCGGCTGACGGGTTGAGCCAAGGCCACCTCAAGCAAGAACAAAAGAGTCAATGGCACTATACTTTGATCAAAGCAGCGAGTGTCTTGGACAAAATCTGTCCCTCCAACAGCATCATTTGAACAGATTATCAGTTTTCTTGTTGCTATTTCTGGTACCTTGTAAATTGACTGACCCATTTCCTACAATGACAACAGCGACTATATAATCGTACTTAATTGCAGTTAAGTAACAATTTTGCCTTGTCCTGAACTACTGGATAAGTACAACGCACGTCTTTATTTCTTTAGCAGCAAAAGGTCCCAAT